TGCAAAGCGGCAGGACATGCTACTCCGAGAGTATTCTTATTTCTCCTTGATAAGAAGGAAAAAGTTCATTGTGCACGAAGAAATGCTGTGGCATGATGTTCTGGGAGAAAACAGGACCAACGAGGAGTATTTGAGAAAAACAGGAGCTTTGCTCGATCGCGGTGGAACAGTAAAGATTACGGCGGCTCTCGTAGAATGTTTCCGGAAGTACCCCAGCTTTGGTTCCAAGGGGCGCCTCCCGCCCCTTTTGGAAGACTGCGAGGGCCGATATGACTGAGGGTATTATAGAACTTCTGATCTACTTCGATGACTCGTCGCAAAGTCTACGCAAATTTGAGGCACGGGGTTACTGCTTTGACCGTTCCATCCTGAGCAGCTTTTGCATCAGCAACGGATAATGACAACGGTATGGGTGGAAGTGAAACTCGTTCCAACATCCCTTCAATTTCACGGCGTTCCCTTAAACTTGAGATCTTCCCGCAGCCAAAAATAGCGAACACGAAGACCAGGCTCTTTCACGGCGGCACACAACCGACTACCCATCACCCCTACCGAAACACGCATCACAACCCCGTCTCTCCGTGCACCACCCGCTTTGCCACAATGATACACCACTTGCTCGACAGCCTTCGCAAACTGCAGCCTTTGCGGACCCGGGACGTACGTCACGGGCAGTCAAAAGCAAGAACATGCATGCCTCGTGGAATCGAGACACGGCTCGAGCGTGAATCAGTCAGTCAGCGAGACCGCTTGACCGTAAATGATGACAAGAGGGAGCCGGGCTCGGAAAGTGATCCCTGGACGGACCATGCTCCGCTCGGGTTCACTACATATCCTTCTGTAGACGTCCCTCGAGTCAGACACGGCGCCTGACGGGAAAGGAGAGGGATAGTGTATTTGTTCAGGACTACGGCAGACGCCTCGCGAGTGGGCTGTGGCATGGTTTGGAGACTGGCGCGTCGGAGTACTCTTCCTTCTTCGAGCATGCTTCAAAGATGTGTGATGAGAGTTTAATGTGCTTTATGACTACTTTTCAACTTCATGTAATGTATGCCTCGGAACACGGTCAGGAATTACGCAGCGGTCACAGGCGTCTTGCACGACTTCAGGCATAACGATCCAAGTAATCTCCTTCATTCATTTCCTAGTAATCTACAAGCGTAGTCCCAGAATATATGCTCGGGTACCTACTTCCAGAAGCGCTTCTCCCCTTCTGATAGAGCCACTTATTGTTCAGCCCCACCGTAGCCACTCGCCCAGCCGCAGGACTCGGAGTATTCGGCGCCCCCAGTATACTATTGCCCCCTCCAAATCCGGGCCCCAGAGGTGACGGTGAGCCATAGCTCGATCTCCTCGCAGTATCCCTAGACTTGCCCAGACTCTTCTGCCACAACGGACTGGCTGCGAGACTCGCCGTAGGCGAACCGCTTCTTTCCCTCCCGAATGACGGACTGCTTGTAATGGGCGTGCTGTACGTGCTGGTACTTCTTGTCGCCGGAGAAATGTTTCGTGGTGTTGGCGAGTGGGGGTATCGTGGTGGTGTGATGTATTGTGTCCCAGGTGTCAGTGGTGGCGTGGCGTTAGGGTTCAGGCCCAAGAGCGATCGTTGTGTAGGCGTCAGTGGGATGTCGGTGAGTTCGTCCGTGTTCTTGATGAGGGGTAATAGGGCTGTTGCAATGTTGTAGAGACCGAGCAGGCAAATCAGGAAAAGCATGGGAGTGGTGAGTGGTTGGAAGATTTGGGAGATTTCGTGAATCCAGGAGCTACTCTCCACTATTAGTTTGGACTTTTCACTCGGGTGCAAGTATACACATACTGTGATGAGGCATAGAACAGTGCCGCGAGAGCCCCCCCATTCCACACTATCTTCCGGAGGTTGCTATCGTCGAAGGTATTTGCTTTTTGCCTTCGGGCTATCTCGTCGGATCTTGGATGTCGCCAGTTTCCAGGTGATGGGGTGGACACAGCGGCTTGAATGGGTTGGCTTTGAGGTGTCGCAGGAGCTGAGGTCGTCGCCATGAGGTCGAGGATGGCCGGTGTTTATTCGGACTTCTTGTTGCCGCGAGCTTGAGGATGCGTGTACCGTTCTTCTTGTTTAGCTCAATAATCCTTTCATCGTTCTAAGATCATTGCTATCGGATGAGTCGCGTCGCCTAGGTGGTGGAAGGAATAGAATTGAGGCGTCGTCGTTATAGTGTGCTTTGTTTCATAAACAATGTCGAGTCTGACGTGAAGGATTAGTCTGTGGACCCGGTATTAGTAGAACCACCGTCAGCACTAGTAATCCGACACTTTTAAATGGAACCTCCTCAAAAATCATATAGCATCTACGTGGTGAAGGTTATGAAACCAGTGTTCAGTTTTATGCCTCAAAAAGATGTTTACTTATGACAACATCGCATCAATGGGTTACTATTTTTCGCCAATTCATTTTGGTCAAAGCCGTGCATACCGGCCCAGCACTCCTACCACATATATACCCCCATAACCCATGCCCCGTACCCAATTGAATCAGCCCTCCCGCTTTATCAGGCCACCTCCGGGTTTCGATCCCTGTAAATCCAAAATTGTCCAAAGATCATAAAATCCAAGACCAGCGTGCCAGCGCTGCCAATTAGCCAGCTCGCATTGAGAAGGATATACTGACCGTAAGCTCTGGCCCACTCTCCGCTCTCGCATCCACCCCTTACATCATCGTATCTTTCAAACCTCGCACATGCAGGCTCGTAGGCGAATATGCTCATCACGTATGTGAGATTCCCCACACATGCGAAAAGGAAAAACAGCATGCTGACTCCTTCGGTGCTTTTCCGGCGGTAGTTGAGATGAAGTTGCGGGATGCGGGAGCCCAGGTAGAGGGCTGCGCAGAGGTAGCCAAATATTTGGCCCCAGAGGTCTAAGTGGAGGGATTCCGAGGTGTCATTTGTAGAAGAAGGAGACCGGTGGCAATCGTGATGGTGATGATCATGGCGGTCTGGGTATTGAGCACGGGACGAGCGAGAAGACAGCCACCAGCCCAATATACCGGCTGCGCAGACAAGGATAAGGGCAGCAATATTAAAAAAGAGAGCGTAGAGGGCTGACTTAGGTTTCGTTAGAGTTTCCGTAGGAGTCGAGGTCCTAGGTGGAGTAAAGGGCGTGGCAGGAGAGAGATGCGTGGCATCCAGCTGGCCATTCGACAGACGAGAGTGGAGGGAAGAGAAGGAGCCACGGGTGGAGAGATGCTCTGCATCTGAGATAGCAGGTCGATCAGGGGTGTTCGAGGGCCTTTTATGCGGCAAGAGGGAAGACTGTTCTGTAGGGGGCTCTTCTTCTACCGCTTCCTCGTCAATGGCTGGTGTAGACTTGCCCGCCGGCGCTTCCAGGAGCGTAAAGCCTTTGTAGTAGAAACATTGACCCAGTAACACTATGTCGGCAAGGGTATAGTAAACCGCCAGGATCGTCATCGTGGGGAGGACTCCTTGCAGCACTGCTCCGAGAACGTTGAAGACATCGCCGAGAGTCCAGATGATGACGAAGAGGAGAGAGAGGCCATCGGCGGAGGAGCGGCGGAAGTTCTCTATGATTTGAGGGGAGTAGACGACGACCCAGCAGGCTATGGAAATCGAACTGCAGACCGTTAGAATCCAACTGGTCCGAGGGGCAAAGGAGACTTACCCGCAGATGCCGCTCAGGGCTTCAAGATCCAGCTGGAGGCCTGACGGCGGTGGAGACATGGCGGCAGCAGCATGGAGAGCCTTCTGCCTCGATTAAACAGTGTGATGACCGTGGAATCGAATCAAAAGCAAAATGGAGCGAAGTGGGTAGCCAGAAGGAACGTTACGTAACCTTGCAGCTTTAGCAAATCCGGGGAACTCCATACTACGCTAAAAAGGGCAGGTACACGCAACCACTATCAAACGCAAGGATGGCCAAAATGTCGAGTGTTCGTCTGTGCGTTCAGACTTCCAAAACTGGGTATACTGAAGGTACAAATCTGGTTCCAACAAAAAGTACTCAACAGCTGAATCTTCTGTTCAACATCACTCGACCACTACAGTATACTGCGCAAGTGAATTCTTGCAACGCGATCTAGGGATTCTAAGGGGAGAGATAGCTGTAGGGAAATCCATTCCAAAGAGGTAGCTCGCTTACTTCTTTACATACAAAGGAATCTCAATCTGCATGATGAGCTTTGAGAGAAGGTTAGGAACCGTGGCTCAACTCCATTGATCACGAGCCTTCCCGTGAACAACGATGCTAGCGCTCGACTTGCTGGGTATCTTCAGACTTTTATCACTTGACAATAAACACTTGCAGCGTTCTATCCAGCTGGACCGGGGGAATTCCGGGTATTCCAGAGATTTCGAGACCTGGAGTAGTGTAAAGTAGGCAGAAGCACCCTGTTTGGCTCTACCCTCGATGTTCTCTGCATGGAAGTTGCTGATTGTTGAAACAGCGTCAGATCATGAAAAGTCTTCCAATCTTTTCAACTTCATTCGCAAGCTTTATGCATGTGCTACATACGATAAGACCGCTCTCACCCAGCTCGTATCATTGCTAGACCATTCCTTTCTCTGTGCATGGGGTTCGCAGTCCCCAATAGTGACATGCCTCATGGTCGTAGTCCGCGCTCGCGTTCCCACTGTCTTAGTTCTCCGAGTTCAAGCCAGCGAGGCGGCGACTCGTGTCTCTCCGCGCCGACGGCCGGACCAAGGCCCACTTTCCTGCTGGTACGATCAGGACGGTCATATCCTCGCGGGCGCCTGTCACGGTTCTGATAATCCACAGTCCCAGAATCGTCTCGCCTTGAAGGAGCCTGCGGTCTTTGCGTCAGTGAATCCTGGCCTTAGTATTGACGCTCTCATGTCATACTCTGGAGTGTGCATAGTCGTTATGCTCACCATGGCCATGAGCCATCCCTTCCTGTCGACGCATTTGTCTACGATGAGGCCCACGACTAGTTCGAGTGTTCATAATTCCATCATCACCTCGCCTTGATGGAGCCTGGGATCTCTACGTCAGTGAATTCTCCCCTTAGTGTTGATGTTATTATGTTGTACCCTGGAATGTGCATCGTCGCTATCGCCCTCAGGAACATCGAACAATCCTGGGCTTTGTCTATGTTCCCGTCTTTCTTCCTCTCCTGGGTCTTCCCCGGGGCCCTCTGCTAGGCCCTCTGCTGGGTCCTCTGCTGGGTCCTCTGCTGGGTCCTCTGCTGGGTCCTCTGCTGGACCCTCTCCTGAGTCCTCTCCTGAGTTTTCTCCTCGCTGCTCACCCCGCCACTCTCCTCGCTGCTCTCTTCGTTGCTCTCCCCGCCGCTCTCCTTGCTGCTCTCTTGGCGGATGTCTTGGCGGATGTCTTGGCGGTGGTCCTGGCGGTGGTCCTGCCCGGCGTTGAGCTCCATGCGCACCCCGAGCATCCTATAGATTTATTGTCAGATACTACTCGACAAGTCATAGGACTGTGCAGATCACACCCGACCGCTAGTCCACTCAACACTTTTTCCAAATCCTGGCGTTTTAACAAATTTGCGGTCATCATTAGCCGGACGTCCAACCCTTCTCTCGAGGTGAAGACCATTAGGTAACACGTTTTCCCAGAATGGAAAACCAGTAGCGTCAACGAACTGGTCATCAACATAGTGTGAAACTCCCTTCAGGTTGACATCGACTCTGTGCCTCGGCATTTTGGATGGCAGACTTGAGAGTCTTCTCGAAAGAAGATCCGTCGAATGGTCGGGTTTTCTTTCTTGAGTATTGTTTGCTTATTTTCTGAAATATGCGGTATGCCTCTTCGGTTTCAATCTTTGCTGTTAGGTTGCTATAGAAAAGATTAGAATGGACATAAGGGACCTCTGGTGACCTCTCGCCAGGCTTTGGGACTAGATTCAGTGGCGATGGGAGAAGATGACGCTGAATACGCCTTATTGGGATGATTGTGTTCTTGTTGCACCTTGCCAATGTTTTGATTGATCTCTGATGGTGGACATCATGGGGAAGAAGAAAGGAGAAGAAGAAAAAAGCGTGCCCTTTTATACCATCCCAAGAACCCCGCTCGGGGGCGAATATTGTGTATATTGGCGAGGCTCTTGATTGTCCGAATCACCCGTACATGATCTTATAACACTTGCACTTTCCGAGCCGATCTACTACCTCCAGTGCGAACCGTATCATCAGGTCATGATGGGAAGTCGACTCAGCCTATCAATACCACTATGTTATTCTTTCGTCCCGCGCTTCGTCCGTTCGATTGTAGCACTCGCCAACAGACAGGTGCGTCTACTATCTGCTCTCCTCAGGATCTGAATGGCTACTCGAATGTATTAGCGGCAAAGGAAGCCAACGGGTCAAGATCCGACCGCCTAAGCCTATCGGGAACTGGGGAGTCTCGAGCTTGTGATTCATTTCACTCCAGCAATAGGCGCCTCCTCCATCCTGAACCTCCGGAGAGCTATGTGGCGCATGATAAGAAGAATTGGAACAGAGTCGGAACCCAGCTTCCCGTTGCCGTCTATCGAGAGCGCGGTTACTATATGCTCGTGATGATTTGTTGTGGTTCCTGCGCCGGTCAATCTTCTACGTCAGCAGTGAGGCACGTCTTTCGTCTCTGCTCCATATGTTTCTGACAGCTACGTAGTCGACTGGACCGTTTCCGGTCTATTGAGAACCCGGTTATTGCAATCTCGTAGGCTACCTTTAGCGTCGATGCTCTATGCCAGCAGTAAAGGCCCCACTTTTATTCTTTACCAGGCGAATAGGGCGACGGAATCGCCACTCGGTCCCTCTTTTCAGCAAATTAGGTCCACGGTCGCACTCCCCTCGTGACCTTTTCTTGGGCTTCCTCCGCCAGTCTGACTTCCCTGCAAGTGGTGACGCGGGTTTCTCGTCTCACAAAGCTGCTTAACACTTCCTTATAGCGCCAGCAGTATATGATCACCCATGTTGAAGACAAAAATGTTATTCCGTGGTGGCCACAACTCGTAATGGGCTAACCCGTCGAGTTTGTGTCTCACCAACGAGGCGCAAATCCACCAACTTAAGCTCATAGTATCTACTTTGCCCATCTCCCTGCGAAGGAAATTTCCAGATAGCTATCAAAATCTAACATGGCCGATAGAAGACGTGGTTGTTAACGCGCGGTGAACGCTCTTCGTGCCCCCTTCATTCGTACATTTCTCTGCCAGCCATAACTGCGGATCTACAAGATCTCATATTAGCATCTCAATACCGTCTAAAATACATTGCTAGTAATCAGGCCTTCCTTCAACAGCAGACTCGGCGCTGACCCTCGTTCGGGTTTCGCGCACACCGAGTAGCAGACTAGGCCACAGTTCATGCTTTCTTCCACCCCCCTACGATAGTCGCCCAGAACCACACAAAGCCCCGAAGCGTTGTTGCATTCTTCTCTTCAAAATTGCGCACAGATCTAGCATCCTGATTACAACACAGAAGGGTACCGCCTCGTCGTAATAAAAGCCGACACCATCATGTCTCGAAGGATCCCGTTTGGAAGTGGTGGAAGAAGGCAGACCGACCCTCCCAACCTCTGTCTCTCCACTTAATCACGTTCGGCGACTCACGCGGCCAACCGCACATACCCATGCCCGTGATCCTCCATTTCGACCTCTCAGCAGCGCAAGCGCCACCGCGCCACCTCTTGGAAGCCTACACCGGCGCCTCCCCCGAGATAGCCCACACCTTTTTCGCGATCCCAGGACACGAAGCGAACTACCAGAACTCGTTGCGGGAATTGGAAGACCGGCTCGAAGACCGGCTCCCAGGCCCACCCTGTGCCTGCGTGGCCGTTTTGGTGAACTGCAGGGCGGGTATGCATCGCAGCGTAGCGATGGCGGAGCGGCTGGCGGGAGATATAGAAATTGCGTGGAGGGATGATGGGGTGATCGTGGTGGTAGAGCATCTGGATACGGATTTGGAGCGTGGAATTCGACGGGCGCGGAGGGCTAGGGCCGGGGGTGAAGGCTATCATGCTGGATATCTCGCGGGAAGATACAGTAGGTACCAGAGGATAAGGCGAAATGTTATTAGCAGAAGTTGAGGTACAATCGGGATACGAAGCAGGTAGTAACCCTTCTTATTCACCGTTGCGGCCGCCTCCTCTCAGTACTTCCAGATCTGAGAGCACAAAACCCGCACTGCTCATGATATGTTTATAGTGAGCACAATATCCATCCGAAGACAATGATGCATATCGCGTAGCTTAACATCAACAAGACGAATATCTGTGAGTTGTCGATCAAATCCTCCCCACAGCAGCAGCACCGAACCAGACGAACAAAATCAAAGTGAAAAATACGTTTACCGATATGGTGTTAGATCAATCGAGTGGAAAACGAAACCCCGAAATAGACTCCACCCGAATAAATGATTGGCAAACTTTGTGACGACCTTGGTCCGCTATGATTTCACAGTTTGGAAATATCGGTTTGATGCTTATGCCAGCAGAACTTACCAACGATAGGTAAGTCTCCTAGTGATCCTGTATGTCATCGGACAGTCGCCCATTTAGCTAACCTCTACGAGCAGACTCAGGCGGTTGATCAGCCAGGAATATTCCCGACTCTTGGATTTCCCTGATTACGATATGAATTTCTTGAATTCGCCGTCCGTCGAAAGCTTTAGTAACGGCATCCATCACCACCTGGGCATACCAACCAATAAATCTTATGGCAGACCTCGTCCTGATCAAACCCATTCTCTCTCGAATGTCTGCCCGACGCAGGTGGTCGTCAACTCGCTCGATCCCCCTCTTGCTCCCACCGGCGATTCCATTGAGTATGCCGGTAATACCGCCACGAGTATGAGGTTCCCCGCGCCGATCTCTGCCGGACAGGTATCATGCCGTGGCTTCTCAGGAGACACATTTTTAGGTTCCGATCTTAACGGATTCTTTCGCTTTTTGCTTTCAGAAGTCGTTGGCAGTCAGCCTCCCGATAGAATTGGTAGAGACCACTAAAAACCCCTCGTTACCAGAAATCCTCTTTTTGCTACAACTATCGTTGGCAATCAGCCACTTTTGATACGTTTGAACGTGCTCTATGCTGTTCCGATACTATGGGCGACCGCGGTGTACCAATGTCGACATTTGCTGTAAGTACCGCACTTCGGCCTTGTATCAGGTAGTCACTTATCATGATGGTATCCAGGTGCTCCAGTTGTGGTACGACAAGACGGTCGCAGATGAACACAGCAAAACTCTGGACTGGTGCTGTGAGAAGGTGTGTTCCAGTGGCAGCGTCACTTCGTATTATTGACAGATTACCACAAGATATTCGGACGGCAAATGCAATGGACGATTTACTTGTCTTGACGTGGTGGTTGGTGCGCAGATTCATCTACAGGGAGGCTTCAACGTCTATTTCGACTGCTTCGGTAGGCTTAGTATACTTCGTACAAAAACCCGCCCCTATGGGCAAGATTATAACGACCAAATCCCCAGTTGGTGCTCAACTTTCTCCATGTTCCATGGCTGATCAATCCCCAACCTCGCAATGCCGTTTCATTTGTGACACCTCCCCTTCAGTCAGGCGAATTTCCGCAACCTAAGGCTCAAGGCTTACATGATCGCAACCGCAATCCCTCTTGATGCGAACCTCATGACAAGTAGGTATAGGCTCCAGTCCCGCCCTACGTTTCCCTCTGAAGGTAAGTCATAGTCTCCAATAGAGAATTCTGTGCTTCCCTCATTCGGCTCCGACCATACGTAGATCAGCGTCTCCTCTCCGCGCTGTCCAACTGCCACACCGCTCAGATGCCCGACGCATCTCCGCTCACAGATCCCAACCCAGAACGGACATCGGAACCAAAGTCTTCCACGTCTCTAGTAACTGGAGAGTGCAGAAGAGGCAACCCTGATCTGTTCTTTTCGGCATCATTTGGTTCTTTAAAACGCGAGTCATCGGGGTCCTCGTGTGGACCTAGACATTTGGTTTTCGCTTCCGCGGATTCTCTTTCACTCCCAGCCAGAGCATCTTCCAGGCCCCTGAGCTCGAAAGATAAGATAACCTGGCAAACAAGAGCCGACGCCACCAGTCTAGCGACGACGAAACTCGCATCCCTGACAGAGATGTACAGCAACGATGAGAACACCGAAATGCCCCAGGTGAGCTGAGCATAAGCCACAATGCCCGCCAGGTAATTTAGGCTGATAGCGAAGCTACTTGTCTCGTCGTCCTCGACTACTAGGCTGGGGCCGCTCGCGCAGGGTGCAAATTCCCTCCAGAAGGCGTGTCTGAGCCTTTTGCCGATCGACGTCAGGTCCGGCCGTCTGAACTCTGCCGCAAGACTCGGAATCTTCAGCTTGGAGCCTTTCAAGAATCTCAAGGCTACAGCTGCAGGAATATGAACCGCCAAGGCTAGAATGACCCACAGAAACGGGAAGACGAAGGTCTCGCATCCAATGATTGACAACGTCCACAGTCCTAGGGTGATAGTGCAGTGGAAGACGTTGGCGATTGCAGCAGCAGCAATGACATACTCTGCAATACTAATTAAAACAGCATGTCTATTTTGCAACTGCAACGGGAAGAAATTCGACTTAGGTGAGTTTGTTCGCAAAACCTCAAGCGGGTTGTCGTAGCGAAGTAGCCTCGTTGGATAAATGGCTGGAGCTCCGAACGCTAGCAGCAACGTCAGCAGGGGCCGCTGCGTCGACATGACCGAAATCTCCGCTATGCTGGGCCCAAAATTCGACAATATCACTGGAGTGAGACCGAGCAAGACCTGGGCGGTCCCCATATCTGATTTGATGCTTTCCACAAGGTTGTCCAGTATGCAATCATTTTGATTGGAGCAATACTCGATGACGGTATCAGGCAGGCTCTCTCTGGCGGTGTGATTGCCTAGATATGCTTGCAAGTTGACTTGGCAGACTCCAGCGGATACGGCGTCGATCCTTCCGCCAAACTCGGGGAACCATTTGTCGAATTTGTGAGGACGGGCGACGAGGCCGTTGAGAAGGAGATCATGGAATTGACCAGCTGTTCGGCGCTTTTCGGGAGCCTCGGCGGCGAGAGACGGCCATGTTAGAAGTGATAATAACGGCAGAAATCCTAACCAAAACATCATGGTTTAAAGGAAGTTTGCAAAGTGATAACTTCCAAGACATCAACAGGACAGATTTTTGAAGGAATAAACAACTCTTCAGGACGTCTGAAAGCAAGTACTCGTCAGCCCCGGCTCGACTGCCCCTAGTCCGGCGTTTTGAATTTAATATTAGCAGCGGGATACTCGAAGGATCAATAAAGTTCGCATTTTGCACTGCTTGCATCAGCCGCACCCTGTTCCGGAGTGGATCAGCAGCTCATTCCATGAAGAGCGCCGCCCAAAGAGGCTAGCCAGATCTAGCCGAAGTTGCTTTACAGCGCGTTGGTATTACCTTAATCCTCAGACGCTCCCCTTGGCTTCTCAATGTCAACATGCCGCTATTATATGGTGAAGGTGGCGCCAAAAATGCATTTTATCGGCTCCAGACCGAGATCATGAAAATCTAGATAATGAGTCACTGTTCGCCTGGACCTCTAACCAGGGAGGATCCGGTCTGCTTGCAGCTCACCCAAGATACTTTGCAAAACGTGGGGAATTTTCATGGAGACCCGTTCAGTGGGCGCGGTGAGGCCGCCGTTCTCCATGACAAACAAAGGATTGAAAACAGCGGTACCTGAAAAACATCTACAGCCACCGTTGCAAAACAACGGAGCCATCCGCTTCTTTCTTCGTTGTTCGAGGGGCTACACTGGAAGTGCTCAAATACATGGAAAAGCTCTCTACGTGGAGCTCGATATGAATTGGGGGCGAAGGTCCGCGGTTCGGATCAACTGCGCACACTTAAAGGAAGCCAACATCTCACCCGACGGAGCGAGTACCGTATAGGTCAATTGAAGAGTGATATCACACATACTGAGCGGATTTATATCTCCTCGCCAGATTCCATGCGTTCGGGTTTTTGGGGTCCGGTTTCATGAACAAAGTGTTTGGGTATGAGGGCACTCCCAACTTTGACTAGACATGTTCTATATTAGTTACGACTTCAGATATTAATGAGATATAATCATGCGGATAAGGGGAATACTCATTCATGATTGGTCAAGGCGGTATCGTATGCTTTCTAGAGTACCTATGCTATGGGGTAGACGGAAGCTTTCCAAAGGATTCCATATTCACTTGGACGACCTTCGCTTCATAAATGAGCGAGCAACTTATGTGGTCAGCGTCACGCGATCTCATAATTCGAAAACGGCAATAAGGCAGGTCTCTTGAATTCTGCAATGGCATCATATATATGAACGATGGGATTGAATATAATTGAAAACTGTCCATCAATTCAAATGTTAACACACTAAGAATGGGTTACCTTGTATTCTTAATAGAGGACGTCGCCAAGGAGGTTGCTCCATGGTAAAGTCGAATAGCAAACGCAATGGATGGGCTTCTGTTTGCGCGAAAAATGAATCTCTTGAGACGCTCACGCTCCATGTTCAGTGCCTATGCTATCTTTTGTATGTGACGATGCTTGGATACGTCTTCATTAGCTGCTCTCTTTCTTGTTTTCCCCCGCAAAGATGTGGCACCAGGGGCATAATGCCGCAGCCGACACGGCGAGCTGGTTCGTCAATACATAATCAACCTTCTGGGAAGAAATGGATGGTATTAGTGCCATGGGCGAGGGCGGCTTCAAAAGCACTGGGAAGGATGCAATGACCAGAGCCTTATGTCGAAAAGGAGTTGTCCTTCACCTGCGTTCTTCTCCGCTGTGACTTCCACGAGCGAGGGTAGAGACGTAGCAAAGGAATATTCCTCCACCGTAATCCAACCTTCCCCATCTCGCAGGATGACCCTAAAGCGATATTGAAGAGCCTCGCCCGATCCCTCATCTGCAAGATGTAATGAATTTATAGTCTGAGCCGGGCTCGCCCCTCCAGACGGCGCTTCCTCTTGCGAAGGGTTTGCTCCGTCGGGAAGGGTATGCTCCTCCTGACCTGCATCCTCTTCGACGACATCCTCTGAATTGAAAGCTCGAGGACATAATCGAAGGCGGAGTGGAGTCCTGGTTCCCGTCATAGTTTTTGTCATTCATCGCCCAGTCCTCGCCGTTATCTGTTGACGGAGGGTTTCGATACAGCGCGAGCTTGTGACGAGGAGGTGGGCTGTCGAACAGATGGGTCATGCCGGGTACCCTCTCAGTGGACGAGCTGCAGGTAAGGCGGCGTGCATGGCGACGCTTGTTCCCGTGTGACACAGTCGGCTGATGCGAACGAATGTATTAATAAAATACGTTACCGGAGGAGCGTATTGTACCACATGATATTCATATGCGCGCCAATTGCTGCCCGGAAACATAAGAGTAGTTGGACATGGGCAAATAACTTTAGCTCCGAATCAGTCAATCGTCTACGATTTAAATTGTCTTTGGTCCTCACATTGTTGGACATGACACCTCCCCAAAAACCAGTCTACACCCCTGGACGCTTCCGGATGGAGAAACCAGGCAGAGATGTAGAAGGTAAAGAGGATTTTTCGGAGGCTGCGACCGCATTGGCCTCAAAATGACCCTATCATCGTCGACTTTGATGACCCTCAAGATCTATCCATGGCCATCAAATGGAGGCCGAGGAAAAAAATAGACGCTCATCATTATGCTCTCATCTATCACCTTCACAACGTACATGTCCTCCTCACCCTTCAGGATTGCAAACTTCACAATTATAATCGACGTGTTCGAGGGCAAGGATGGCTTTCCGCGGAATCTCGTTTGTCTCACCTTCGTCGGGGTAGGGATAGGCATGATGTTTCTGGTACCATGCCTGAAACTTAGGACCTCAACAACCACTTCCAATACCGGTAGAATGTCGATGTCTTTAGGCAAATTCGTTTGTCAAATGTTCCTGGCACCGTGCCGAAACTTATGAATAGGACCTCAACAATCACTTCCATTGCAGGTAAATGTCGATGTTTCTAGGCGACTTTTCGTGAAAATTGTCACTTTTCTCTGGCAACTTACTGTCGTTCAAACTTTTTCGCCCTCTATGCATAGCTTTTGCTACAGTTTCTTAACAGTGTAGGTCACCGATGCAGATGGTGCCGGCTAGACAACAAACCCTGACCTGCGCATCTTGGCTGCAGAGAGCGTCATCCGAGGCGTCGTCACGGCTCGAATTTCATAGCGGGATACCTTTGCGATCCCAAGAATTGCGCCAATGCAGTGGATCTGGGCTTGCGAGCGATAGCGACATTCAAGTTCTGCCTGGAAGAAGGGGAGTGTTTCAAGCACAGGAGAGAGCGGAGGTGATAGTAGCTGTATTGGGATTGTGGAGAGGGGGCAACATTGGGCTAGTAAAGGGGAAAAGAAGATATTGCTGCAGTCCTTAGTATATGGTGAAGAATTCGTTGACAAACGGGCAATAGACCGCAGTTTTTAGCATTCACTGCGTGTGCGCTACACCGAAGACACATCTGCGTTGTGGTCAACACATTCGTTCCCCACCTTTTTGCAGAAAAGCGTGGTTTGGTTGGCTCGTTTGATCCACACCGATGATGGACACGCGGTAATCGTAGCCGGGCGGACCGTGGCGTCAGGGGTTGGGCGAGGAGCAGATGGCACGGAACGTAGAAGGGGGCAGGGCTACCAAAAGCTCGACGATACAGCTGATATTGAGTTAAGGAGCGGGCATATGCGGTTTGGCGCACGCGTTGTAAGATGACCCACCATTTCTCGCAATGGATCCGGTATTAGAGCATTGAAATTAAAATTTTCTTGCGGATACTCTACGCGAATTCCACACTTTCAATTCGGACACCTCATGATTACTCACGGCCAATGAACGCGGTCTGATACTCATAAAGGGCTGGCAAACGCTGAAAGCATGCCTAATTGTGTAGTGGAGATTCATTCCCCGCCTCGATGATTCAAAGTGTGAACCCAAGGACGAAGAGGCGAGAGCTTCGAACCGTCCCTGCGACCAAGATTCTAGGGATTGCGGAGACCGACTTCGACACCCTTGGGAGAGTATACGCCTATGGTACAGAACATACTTGATCCCTCTAACCGTGCAAGATGTTGTGACTTTACAGTACCCTCAGGAGCTGCTCAATCATGGCCCGAAACTCAAATCATGATTCCATATGCTCTCTTAGTGGCGTTCACCCGGTAAACTGAGGGCAATTCAGAAGGCCCACTACGCATGCACATAAGGGGGTGTGGCTTCCCTGGCCAATTGGAGTCGACGTCTGGGTTCAGCGTCACGACACCTGATAATACGCACGCCAAGCCTCACCACCGAAAGCCCGTCTTTGACCATATTGCTCGAGTGAGCCCGGCCAGACAACAAGGAAGCTCGAAGTAAATCAATCCCCTACTTTGAGACATATGGTTGACACAGCAAGCCCCGAAGGCTACAATCGTTATATTGTATCAGCTCGAATCTTGGCATGAAGACATTCTTGGCTTTGCTCTCTGCGCCGCCCGACCGCTACAGAAACAGTGCCGAGAGGCTGGGAATCAGTAAGAACTTGTTGCACTTCATCTTTGCAGGCAAGGACGAGTGGATGTCTGAGCAAGCCGCCAGAATCAGTATCAGCTAAACAAAAGTCAGCAAAGAAAGACGACGCCGGATGCAGTGAATACGAATTTGTGTTCGATCGCAATGAAGCGAGTTTAGTCATACTTGACAATGCGCCCGCTTCTCGATGCGTGCGTTGGCTGGCTCGGTCGGGTGTGAGAACTTCTTTCACGAGAGCTAGCGAGGCGAAACCTCCGGCTTTCGGGAAAAGAAAACATTCAATCATTCCTGGAGATTATTGGAGTCCCAGAACCACAATATCTGAAGCGGATTGTCCTCTGCACCTACATCCTCTCCTGCCACTTCGATGGCGAAGTCATGCCGAGATGTTGATTGGGCTTGTGTGGCTAGAACTGTGCGTGTGAGTGAGCCCGAAGCCTCGCCTCTCCTCCTCAGATACATACCGCCTTGACGGGCAATCAGCTGTGAAGGATTTGAGCTCGGCAGTAATCGAGTCAGCTGATATTAAGTGTCTGGCAATGTTCCATTACCCTCATTATTGAACTCAGAGACCTCGTTATCAGCGGCGCCGACTCGGCCTCATGCACGAATCTTGCGGTGACTGCACTGCTGGTTCCCCCGGGTGCAAGTCACGTAATATCCCCTGAATCTAGCGCTACTATCGCTGGAGGACAATCCCGACAGCTTGCATGTCAATGTGGCTTTTCCAGTCAGCACGACGAGGGGGATTTTGCACGCGCCAGAACTCGCACGGACGTGCTTTAGCGAGTGATTTCACTTGCTTTGAGTATTGTCCTAGGCGGGAATCTGTCCCAGCTGTACCCCCAGCAGGCATTGGGCGAGCGCTGCATTAGCGTCGCGCGACCGAGGGTGATCCTGGGCGACTGCGCTTCCTTCAGGGGTCAGTTGCTGCTTGATCTCCCGATATAGATGAGATACAATCAATGACAACATGTCCAGTCAAGAGAAGCTGGTACGATGAGCTGGGCTCACGTAAATTCTTTATCAGTCTTTATCAGTGATAGTTCGGCACGAGTGAACAAGCCGCGAAGGGATTGCCGCAACTGAGTAAATGCACTGGAAACCGTGAGTTGCGTAAAATGCCGCCATAGCTGGGCTATCATCGTAGTCGAAGCTCAATTATGAATATTGATTATGCTAGTAGTGCCATGACTCGCCTACCTAGGCAGGACTGCTACTAACTATAAGTTTCGTACGCAGGAGACCTGACAGTGTTCAGACTTGATGGTCCGTTACATCAAAGGTTGTTCTCCTGCTTGAACTTTTCCCACGCTTCATTCAACGTTGCGAAAACCGCAGCGCTGATCATCTTCTGCTCTGTAGTCGCCGTCATAGGCAGCTTTTACCACACGTCAGCTACTCCAATGCCCTGAGCCAAAGGAGCAGACCGCTTACCTTGTCCGGATGCACCTTCGCAATCCCCTTCATGTAATTAATCTTCACCTTGCCAGGCATCAAGAGTTCCCCCATCCCAATCTCTTTCCACCCGCTTCCTTCCCAGAGAACATTTTGCAAGGTCGATAGCAACGCTCTCAGATTGCTCTCTTTCCCCAATCGCCATTTCTTGACCCGCAAATCAACTATATCCGCAAGCGCGAATTTCTCATCATCTACACGGTCCGCCGCAGCATTCGCTGCTCGTAATCTCGAGACTGCCTCGGCGGACTGCGCAGATTCGGGCGCTAGGTCACCCAGGGCGGAGACCTTTGGCTTAGGTTTCGGAGCGGCTGGCTTGCGCGCCACAGAAGATTTAGTCTGTGATCCTGCTGCAGCTTTCTCGCATCTGTTCCTTCCCGCAATGCTAGTTGCACCTCCCACGCCTGCTTCTACGCATGCCTTCCAGACTATAGCTGCTTCGGACCAGCGCTCCAATTGTTCTAAGGCTTCAGCTTGCCGGGTCATCGCCTTTTCCCAGTAAGTAATCATCGGCTTGACGCCTTCATCGCCGCTAAGATCAACACTCTCTGAAGCTCCCCGCGAAGGCCCTATTAAATCAAGAGCAGATTTGGCGTCTATGACTGCGGCTTTAGGATCACCAGTTTTAAGGTGTGCGAGGGCACGATTGGTAAGAATGGGAAGAACTAGAGGATGCGTTGAGGGAACGGCAGTGATGCCGGTCGAATATAATGTTGTAGCAAGTGCATAGTCACCTCGTTTGAAAGCCAAGGTGCCTTCCTGGCGGGCTTTTGTCGACGCTTGTAGAGCAAAAGGGGAGATGGCTGGGATGTTTCGTTTGGGCGGAGGTGGACGCGTTGGGAGGGAAGTCGTTGGACGTTTGACCGCTTGAGGTGCAGGCTTTGGGCGAGAAGATGTTGGCGCAGATTGATATGATGACTGAGAAGGGTCGAACAGTAGATCCGGCTCCTGTTCAGTAGGTGGCGGTTTGGGAGTCGTCTTCTTCCGTCGCGCTGGGCTGATGTACGCTTGAGAGGCTTCGTCCTCAATAGCTTGCCTACTCAGCTTTGCTCTCGGGTCACGAGCTGACTGCTGTGGCATAAACTTAGGTTGAGGCTTAGACTG